GAATGGCGCCCCCTGGGCAACCACTGCCAGCCCTGCGCCGGAGGAGCAGAAGGCCCAAGCAGCCCCCGAGGAGGCAGCCACAGTGACGGCGCCAGAGAGGGTTGTGGGCAATGGCCGGGCCCCGGACGTGGCCCCTGAGGAGGCAGATGAGGCCAAGAAGGAGGACTTCTCAGAGGCGGACTTGGTGGACGTGAGCGCCTACAGTGGGATCGGGGAGGACTCTGGGGGCAGTGCCCTGGAGGAAGACGATGAAGACGACGAGGAGGATGGGGAGCCCCCCTACGAGCCCGAGTCCGGGTGCGTGGAGATCCCGGGGCTCTCGGAGGAGGAAGACCCAGCCCCGAGCCGGAAGATCCATTTCAGCACCGCGCCGATCCAAGTAAGAGAGCCCCCCTCCCGCCCCCGCACCGCCCCTGCCACGTGCGCGCGCCTGCCCCCGCCTCGCCAGCCGGGTTTGGCAGTCTGAGTCAGCCCCTGCCACTCAGCCCCCTTCCCAGAAGTTCCCACCCAGAGAGGGGCGTGGGGGGAGTTCCAGCTGTTTGTCAGAGGGGACGTTTTTCAGGTCTGGGACCCGGACAGCCTGCCTGGACCTGCCCTCGGGTTCGGTTCCTTCCCTCGCTACCTCGCTGCCCCGCCCGGCGCTCCAGCGCACCCTCGCTGCCCCACGCGGCTGGGACACCTGCTCTCCCTGCCTCTCTCAGGCATTGATTTCTCCACAGGCTGCCAGGGGCAGGGGCTGGACGCCGTGAGGGGTGCACTGTCCTCAGGACTCCGTATTTGACCTGCTCCTCTCCAGAGGGGGTCAGGGAGCTTAGAAACACTCTCAGCTTCCCCTGTGTGTGTGAGCTGGATGGGCCATGGGGCAGGGAGCCAGGGCTTTCCCAGACGAAGGTGCAGGTGCCACACAGCCCTTCCTCCACCCTGTCCATACCCCTACCCCAACTTTGCAGAAGTGAAAGAGGGAAGCAGGACATGAGGGTGAGCAGGGCTGGGACCATGTGACCAGGGCTGGAGGGAAGACCCAGCACTGGGTTCCTGCCTATTCCTTGGGGGTCTGTGCTAGCCAGCTACCAGATTGGGTTGCATAGGGAGGGGGTGTAGTCCTTCTGCAGGGCAGGGAGGAGAAGGGGTGGGGCTGGGAAATACCCCAGGGTGCCAGGCAGCAGCCTGCATGCCTTTGCTCTTGGTCGCTCACTAAGACAGATGCCCATGGCCTTGGCAAGGCCCAGCTGCTCTTGCCAAATTTTCTGGGTGCCCCGAAGGAGGTATAGGAGCTGCCCTATTTTGGGGTCTCAGTTTGACCCCCATCCCCACCACCACCATAATGATAGTTTGTGGCCTGTACCAGTGCTGTGAGAGCCTCAGAACAGTGCTGATGGGGAGGGACCATCCCCTGGGGAGAAGCAGGGATACCCCCCTGGGGAGATGCAAGAACCCCAGGGCACCCCATACTTTCCACCACCTTCCACTCTTGGTTGTACCTTCAGCTTTTCTCACTGCCCCA